ACGAAAAACGTACAATAGATACTCGTTTTTTAACGTTATTTAAAAAAAAATACTACATTCGTCTTAATTCGATAAAAAGAAATAAAAAAATCTATTGACCCTGTAGGCCATTCCTGGAACTTTTCGCTATGTTCGATCTCGAACTAATAGTTAACTCATTACATCAAAAACGATCCGGGTAGAAATTTCGGAGTTATTAAAAATAATACTTTTTTGACGATAGGCGACAACAAAACTTTCGAACGGATAAACTGATTTTAATATAATTGGTGGCAATGTATAAATTAAGAAGTTACAAAAAACGTCTTAATTTATCCATTACCTCGACAAAGAAGTTTCACTTCAACAATATTATCTCAACTATTACGATAAATGGTTTCAAAATAAACATTGCTTAGGTATATTTATATATTTAAATACAAGCGACCTGCCCCGGTTTAACCTAGGTGGGATCTATTGACGTGATTTTTTTTTTAAATAAGCAATATAACCATTTATTTTTAATTTTTCACCTTCACTTTGCTACGTTTTATCACAATCGCTTCAGCAATTCCCGAATAACCAGACAGACAGACGAACAAAAATTATACAAAAGGTTATTCATGTCTTAATAGCATTCATATAACCTACATATTACAGACAGAAACTTCAATTTAATTTTATGTATATATTTTTTTCTTTATGTGAATTTTTTTGTAAGCAATTCACATGTGTATAATAAATATTAAAGCAAATAATACGTGGTAGAGCCATGCTGCAGTTATATTACTAGTATAGTTGTAGCACGAATGGGTCGGCTCGACCGTGGAAGAACCACGCTCTCACAAAATACCGGCGTAAAATGGTAACTTAATGCTGCTGTGTTTCGTATGGTGAATGTAGAGAACCGGAGACCCCTTTTACCGGAAACGAGGCATTCCATCTTAGTCCTCACGGGTGACAACGCATCTGCATTTTGATAAAAAAAATTAACAAACTACTATTATAATTTTATCACTGTACTACCGAATCGTCAGACAATTTTTTAATAGAATAAGGGTGATAAACGAGCACACAGTCCACCTGGTGGTAAGTGGATGCCGTGGCCTATAGACATCTACATGTATCCTCGATTAAGAATCAAAATGCTGATGCGTTGTCACCCCTGAGGACTAAGATGGAATGCCTCGTTTTCAGTAAAAAGGGTCTTCGGATCTCTACACTCACCATATGAAACACGGCAGTATTAAGCTGCTATTTTACGTTGGTATTCTGTGAGAGCGTAGTATTCATACCCCGGTCGAGCCGACCCATTCGTGATACAACAATAATATTGCAGCTATATTGCCTGTATGGAGTGTAGAAGTAAGCAGTACAGACTGTGTATTAAAAAGTGTCCATAGAAAACCGTTAAATAAGGGTGGCGCCACTATAACTATGGGGTAAATTTTAAAGAACGCACCGGAAAATATTAGTAGGATAGACGACTTTTTCGAGGTTATATTTACTAAATAAAATTATTTTAGATTTTAGAGCTACTGAGCAGTTTACACACTTAAACCGTCGACAACTGCTAAGTTCATTTTATCCCAGTAGCTACTCCAGCGCTGTTGTGGAGAATTTTTGAACTGTTATTCACTGCTTATAGATGGCCACTTTTTCAACTATTCTACTATGAGAGTTGGTACTCCTTACTTCTACACTCCATAATTGCGGGGCTCTACCACGTATAAATATTTTAATTTTATGATACTTAACATGTTAAGTATGAAAAAATTGTAAATTCAAACGAAATGATAGACAGCATTTTTGCCAACATATTTGATCATTCTTAGCAGGATGTTATATGTTATTCCAAGACAAACTTTGAGAATATGAGAACAAATATTATCTTTATATGTACGGGTATGTCATTGACCATTAACATCTAATAAGAAAATATAAAAAGAGATTTCAATGACCATATATTTTTTTGTTTTTATAAAACATCTCCAAGGTTTTACATTAAATATATCCTTGATCCCTCCTGGCATCGTGCGTAAAGTTTCATCGCAATATAACGCCCGGATAGACATGCAGACAACATTTTAAAAATGGTTATTTATATCTTAGTAGCATGCAAATGACCCCCTGAGATTAATAGAAGCCAGTTATTTCGATATTACAAAAACATTCCAATTTTATTTATATGTATTTTTTTTGCAAAATTCAAACATTTATTGCCTGATATATCCCATCCAGGTGAAGCCAGTCTCACTAGTTTTAAAATATATTTACTGGAAATTTAACTTAAATTTCCAGTAAATATATTATTGGGTATTAATATATTTTCGGCCACACACCACAGAGGTTTTATAATACTAAATAGAAATCCATCTTTCTTTTTATTTATTTCCTTCTCGTTTTCGTGTCTTATCGTTTCGAGGTCACTCAATTTCCTGCCAGCTGGAATCGTATCCCTCATCGTGGAGTTATCATGTAAAATTTTATTCCGTAGTAACTCTAATTGGGTTATATTCGCGTTGCAAAAAATTTGCTGCAATCATTGAAGCTGGAAGGATTAGTGCCGGTCCACCGCACTCAGTTCGGGCGCAGTTTTGGCACCATATGAACATTGTTCTCGTCTCTGCGCCGAAGCACCCCAGTACCATCTTCTTCTACTTATTCCCATCTTGTGAACGGTTCAAATCGACGATAAGTAAGTTCTTTCGGATCGGCTGGATCTAAAAACCGTGAAAAATGGCTTCGCATTTCTTTAGATTTTCTATCGTATAGGTAAATCACGGTGATTTTTACGAGAAATTTTTACTTTCCAGTCGCTAAGTGTTAACATCTTACATTGCAACATAATTCTCAATTCCATCTCTAAGACATAGACATAGACATAAGTTTTATTTGCATCAATACACTCACAAAATATACATTTAAAAGTAAATAAAAATATAAAAACACAAGAGGTACAGGATGGTAAACATAATTAAAAATAAGTCTCGGCAAGAGTGAGTGATGTGATGCCAAAAAGGATTCCGACTCAGCATATATAGACGAGCCCTGAACAGTATTTATTCGATATAGCGCCCGCGCTGTTATCGGTGCTAACATTCCATTAAAAAATAAATAAATCAATCATTCACTCAAAGTGTACATTTTTAAGAATAACTATAATTGTTAAAAAAATACATGTACATACACGTGCATGTATATGCACGTGTATGTATATGTATAACGTGTATGTTTTTGCTTGCACATAAAAATATATTACATTTTAGATTGTACTATATTCATATTAATTATTCGTATATATTTGTTAAACAGTACTTATGAAATAACCTGCCACTACACGTGAAATCATGATTTTTGAAATGCTAGACGTCCAGTCATGTCAAGACTATGCTAAGACGTCCAGTCATGTCAATGTTTCATTCTATGTTCACCGATACGACATAGGGACTTTGATGGAAATAAAGGCACTGCAGCTACTCTAGCCCTGGAGTTGCAAATGGCGACTGCGACCACATATTATTATTGATGTCATAATATGACTGCCCCTTCTTCTGTATAAAAAAATATTTTCTATAAATGTCAATTCTTGAGAATGTGGCACACCCTATTAATCAACGAATGAAGCTTTTAAACGTCACCGACATCTTTCTGCAAATTTGTAGAAAATGCTAAACCTTAAACAAGGTGGTGTATCGGTGCTTCCCTGTGGTGTGTTATAGTGATATACTGACTTTTCATCGTCAAATATTTCAATTATTATGCATGCAAATGATCTTAAGGGGATATAACAACTTCTTCAAATTCCAAACTAACCATATTTTTTTTTTTTTTGATTTTCCACCAAGGAGTATACCGTCCTTGACGGGAATTTATTGACATTTTTACACAATAGGTTACATTAAATGGCTTACACTATATTTTGCAAGCTGTTATTCTCTAAGACAAGATAACTAACATCAATGCGATTTGATACATTGATTAGGTATCGGTCCATTTAATATTATCACTATTATAAAATTATTTTTCACTGAATGAAATTATTAATAACAATATAAATTTGTATAATTATTCCCAGTAGCATTACATATTTTAGAAAATTAGAAAGAGTACCAAATTAACAACAAAAAAAACGAATAGAAAAAATTACAGAATTAATATAAATATAATACAGGGTATTCTTATGTCTACTGCTTATAATTTAGTCCTTAGCTTATAATTTATTAACATTCATTAAATTTGTGCCTTAAGTTGTACAGATATGATTAGCAAACGAGCATAAGTAAATGAAAGAGATTTACTTATGTTATATATACAAGAAGGGTGAGAAAATAAGATTTAATTTAAGTAAAATACAAGTTATTCCTATATCTATTGCTTAGGAGTTAGACTATAGCTTATGATTTATTAACAATGATTAAAGCTAGTGTCTTATAGCCAAAATAATGTATGCAACGATTCGTGCGAACGTGATTAGCATATAAAAGAGAATTATAGAGAAGTTGTACATAGCCTTATACAGTTTTTTTTATTATTATTATTACCAGAGTAATCTTAGATTTACATATTGTATTCTTAAGAACAAAGATAAAGTTTGAAAGGAGGAGTGATAATTATATATGTTAACTTAAATTATAAAAGTTATTAGAAAGTTTATACACAATTTATATCCTATGTATATTAGTTTAAATAATTTACAATTTATTGAATCCTTTAAGCTTATCTATGATGTAATTAATAAATGTAACGAAGGATTCAATAGCACTTTGTTTATTTGAAAGTTCCGTTACACAGTACGGTGATATACGTAGATTGCTACAAAGCATCTCGTGTCTTAGTCTATTATACTCAAATCTAGGACACTCCCTCAACAAATGAGTTAACGTTTGAGTAGTGGTATTGTCACAGGGGCAGAATGGATCGGCAGCGATTTTGAATCTATGCAGATATTCCTTGTGGTAGCCATGACCTGTTAAAGCCTGCGTTAATTGAAATGATACTTTGGTTGCTTTCCATAGTGCTCAAATGTCCGTCAGTTTTGGGAGTAATTCTTTTGTGCGCGCTCCTTGTTCCGCGCTTTCATATCTTGTCTGCCAAGTTCTCCAAGTTTTTTCCCTCATAGTCCTTTTTACAAAGCTCATAGGGAACTTCGCGTAGTCAGGGGTTTTGTGTTGTGTGGCAGCGCCTTTGGCTGTCTCATCAGCAATTTCGTTACCTGCGTCGCCTGCATGGCCCTTAACCCATGAGAATATGAAATTAAGATCCACTTGAGCAGCTGTATATATTGTGTCATGAGTCTTTGCCACAATGGGGTGGGTGTTAGATCTCTTTTGGAGTGCTCTCAGTGCCGCCTGAGAGTCACTCAAGATCTGTATAACCTCCTTGCAGCCCATGTGCATCCTTGTGCCCCTTTGGGGTCTTTCGTCTCCTTGCTTCAATCTCCGGTCCAAAGTCCACTCGCAAGCCTCTTTAATCGCCAAGAGTTCCGCTTGGAACACAGAGCAGCTAGTATGTAGTTTCAGCCTCTTTTTGTATATAACTTTTGAACCTTCGAAACAGACGAAAGCCGCTCCCACACCGCCATTCTCGAGCTTGCTTCCATCTGTATAGATTCGAATAGGCGCTGTTTCCTGTTCTAGATTTTCCGAATTCAGGTCTGCACACTCAATACTTATTCTTTTTGACGGATGTAATAACTCATGCACAGGTGTGGGCCTCTCATATTGTATATCCCTTGGTATTAAGTTGGTTGCCCCTTTCAGTCGAACTGTCTCAACTTCATGTACCTCCAGGACCCTGAGGTCCAAGGGCACAAATTGAGCCAGAGCGACCGCTGCCACCGTTGAGACTGTCCTAAAGGCCCTAATTGCCTTTATTGCAAATCCCCTTTGGGCCGACTCCAAGAGCTTCCTTACATATCGTTTTTTCGCCGCTTGACCCCAGATACCTGCTGCGTATGTAATTGTAGGCTCAATGACCTGTCGATAGATGGTTTGCACGTTATCGGGATGGGCTCCCCAGGTTGGTCGGGTGTAAATGCATAGTTTGTTGAAAATTCGCATAGCCTTCCCAACAACGTACTTAACATGATCAGCGAACAGAAGCTTTCGGTCAATGATCATGCCTAAGAACTTAATACTCCTTTGAAACGCTAAAGTGTGTCTCCCCATTATAAGGTGTGCTTCTTCAGCCTTACGCGTGAATGCAATGGCTTGCGTCTTAGTGGGTCCAAATGTCAATTTGACACTTTGCCCCCATTCCAATATGATTTCCAGAGCGCGATTGGTATTTGTTTGTAGGGTATTTACATCCTTTGCGGAGACGATAAGTAAAACATCATCCGCAAAGGCTTGCAAATGACATCCACTCGGAAGTTCAGCCTCAAGCAACTCGTCCAGTATCACGTTCCATAAAATGGGTCCACACGCTGAACCTTGTATGCAGCCCTTGGTGTTGTTCTTAGTAACCCGCGCTCCTGAGGAGTGCTAATTAACGAACGAGACCCTACTGACCGAGAAATGGTGGTATATCTATTTGATAATGCCAAACCTTATAGGGGTCATTAGATGCAATATTACCAGTTCAATAATAAAGTACCGTTTCGTACGTGGTAAAGCCACGTTGATCTGTGCTATAGCTGCTATAGGACGAATGAGTTTACTGGATCGGAAAAGGACCGCAATCTCATAGTTCCAACCTAAATACCAGTATAAACCTGATATTTTTTCTTATGATAAGTAATGAGGCATTCCATTTTAATCTACAAATCTGAGCAACAGGATTTAAATTGAGGATAGTTGAAGGTGTTTCTGGGTTTCACAGCATCTAGTTACCATCAGGTGGATATGATAAATTACCACCCTTAGTTGTATATAAAAACTGTTTATTTTTTACTTGATGGACTTTATGTAAATTTAATTTTTAATTAAAATCTACTAAATTATAAAGAATAAGTCGTTAAATTTCCTATTGCCATTTTAATGCGGTCACGTGTGATAATGTGTGCTTATTAAATATACCATACAAATATATTTAATTAATTAAGTAAATAAATATTACTTAATTAATTAAATATTCGTAGATGTGTGCAGATACGTGAGCTTCTCGCTTTTAAATTTCGTATAACAGCTTCTAGAAAAGTTACAAAAACGAATTGGTTATATATTGGCTGCGTGTAATGATTTATTATATTTACGTGAATACCACACATGAAACGAAACTAATTTTACGAATTTTTATATATAGCTATTTTAATTCCCGACGTTTCAGTGTTTGTTCCGCGTTGATCAGACCAAAAACTAATAATAAAAAATTGAAGGTAACCTTCGTTAACAATGACATTAGGACATGAAACACATCAGTCCTCTCCATTACCATGTGTGCTGCAAAGTGGCCGAAAAGTCGTGAATTTAGACTTTTATTCCGTTGGTAGCGTATGTATTTAATGTCCCTTTACCGATTTCTCGGAAATAATTGAACCGATTTCAATGATTCTTCAATTATAAAATTGATTATACTTCAGGAGTGATTTCATTTGAGCTTTAAGAAAAAGCTGGAAGAAAAGTTGAAATATGGGATAAAGTTTTAAATGTAACAATGTCCACTCAAAAGGGTAAAATAATAATTAAAAAAAAAACGATGTAAAACCAACTTTAACAAGAAAAAATTAAATATTTTCCATATTCTAGTTTCTATTGTTCTATTGCATAGTTTACACAATTTAAAAAGGGTCATAACTTCGTTATAAATTTAGTTTCGTCAATTCTCGTTTTAGTGCTGTTTTATGCGATTTGGAGTTTCATAAGATACTTTTATATTTTTGGAATTTTTGTACAAGCTGTTTGTATATACCAAAAGAAGTTAGACACTCTACTAGTTTTTTGATACTGGCTAGTTGTACATCATACAAAGTTGAGCCAACTTCAACGAAATATCGCAGAGTATACAGAAACGAAACAAATGAACACTTCGTTTTTCTGTAAGAAACAGGTCCTATTGCTGCTAGAGGGTCAAAGAACGGTTAATTTTGACTGGTTTTATAACAGTTTGTACATGAAACCTATATAATATATAATCAGCTTGCTCAAAGCAACCAAAGTTAGAAAGTCAGGACATCTTCTTTCGCACCAATAAGATGGAACATTTTATTTTTAATTAAAAATGTGTTTATTCTTTCCGCATATCTGCCATATTAAACTGACCTGAAAAGCAAAGGGGACGCACTGACTGCTTATAATTGGGAGATTTTTGGGGTATTTTAAGAAGAGTAGTTAAAAGTAAAGAGTTATTTTCCAAGTGGTCAAGACGTATGAAAATTACCTTTACGTTATCAACAAAGTCGATACGATAATAAATAGTATAATATAATAAAGAATTAATACCACAATTTTTGAAACATACTTATTTCTGCATCGGAAGAAATTTAAATGTCGTTTTAGAAACGTTTTACTTATTATTTTATACATTTTTAACCTTTTTCTAAACGTAGATAGTTAGTTTGAGACGAGCTGTTTTTCGGAACACCACGTCTAAGCGCGTATTTTTTGTGTGGCAGGAAATATTGCAATTATTCGAGCCATGAAATCTCATTGATCAGTTTTTAAACGTACGACAGTCTCAAAACGAGATAATAATTAAATATTGCTGACATTCGCTTTTGTACTATATAATTATGATTTTGTTCAATTATGTTTCAGAATTTAGGCGCTTATACGGCGTCTAATGCTCTATGCGGTGGTCTGAAACCGTGTTTTTCCCTTCTCCGTATCAATACGTTTCCATTTTAGTGCTATCAACCAGTTGGCATTTACAGATTCATCGGACTCAGTCTTTCCCTCTTTGCGGCAAAGGATTTTCTCTGTTTTGATACGAGTGAAAATGTCGATATAATGACTTATTTTTGTACCTAACAAGGTATTTTTTGTGTAAAATGTACGGTTTACATATTTAATTTATCGCACTGAATATATTTTTTTCTATGGTGCAGGGTGAGAACTATTTACCAGTATCAGCAGCGTACTGCTCCGGTGTACAGACGCGCAGTTCGAAAATTGTCCGTGTTACTTGCTTTTTTCCTTAAGAATATTTATAATAAAAATATCGACGGTAACCATGTGACATTCAAAGTCCGTAACCGTAAACAGATTACAATTCTTTGACATGTCACATGATTCAACAGATTATGATGTATTCGACCTTCGACTTAATTAAAAAAAAATATTAAAGTGTCTTTAACATCACAGTCAACTTTAACCAGTCTGACTATGTAGTTATATTATTACTGTGGGTTTCTGTTAAAAAATGATACGTTTTTCTGTGCGACATATACTTCACTAAACACGTAATATTTAATGAACATTTAGATCAGTTTCGTAGTTTGGAATTACGACACAAAATATTTAAAAAAAAAATTGTATCAATGATCCCTGAATGAAAACCTGCGAAACTTAATTTTAATGTGTATTTTTCGTTTTGACGCATATTTTAAAGAAGCCTAGGAAAATGATAGGTGTTTATGACCGTTTACAAGTATCTTAAAGTGATAAAGAATATTTTTTCTATTAAGTTTAATAAAATTAATAAAAAAATTACTTTATCGTATAAAACAAGAAATAGAAAAGTTGTTTTAACTTTTTCTATATACTACGACTATTTGTTGTAAAATAAGAGAAGATATTAATATGTAAATTATTCAAGCATGAGCAAAACTTCACCACAGGTGGGAAACCGGATTGGTTGGTAACAGACAAGTTGTCTCCTAGCTCATTTAGTTTCTTTATTTACAGGTTTCTAATTAACATCTTTCTTTTAAATTTGATATTGAATCAACTTTTTTTTGTTCTATATGTAATTTATTACTAAGGTGAAATACGAATATTCGTACCTTGATTATATACTAGTTGTACATGTTTATAGCTAATGATAATTTCCTTGGAGCTCCATTGATGATTGGAAAGTTTTCCACTGATATAGCGATGCGAGAACGATGTGGTAGTACCGCGTAGTGGCGGTGTGAGAATATCCAATACTCTATTTCATCCCGTGGGCTCGTAATGGGCGAGAGGGAAAAAGTGAAACAGGAGCTGGATAGCAGCATCTTCCTAATAACAACTAACAGTAATAAAAAAAACCGCGAATGCTAACCCGCATGTTAAGCGTGGCAACTGTACCAGAACCTACCCTAAGAGGCGATATATTGGGGAGGTCTTTATAACATGGGGAGATGTCTACGCATACCCGCGTCGCGGGGGCAAGGACGGGTTTTGTTGGACTTACACCGACTAAAACCCCATGGTGTTCCACATTCGTCGCATATTGGCAGTGCCACTGGAACGATTTCGCACACATCCGCGGCCCACCCAACACTAGCCGCTCCATGGCTGCGCAACCTCGGGAGAGGACTACTCCTCCACTTTCTCCCTCTCAAGTAAGGCGCACCAGAACACATGGCATGCCTTCCTCCACGACCTTCAACTACACCATCGCAACGAACGATATGAAGGAGGCCTATGCCCAGCTGTGGACTTTCATGGGTTATAGGTGGATGAATTAATGGATGGTGCGAGAACCTAAGCATAGAGTTACTCATCATCTAATAAACTGCAGGAATGGACTTGGATGCATTTGCAGAGTGTGCCTCTGCACACATCAATCATCAGGAAATCAATCGATTGTGTTGTTTCTAAAATGTTGACTTCGGCTGAGATTTTAATAACAAATCCACAATTCAAAGGTCTGATATTTTGATAACTATGCGTCAATTCATTAGGTATGTTTTGAAATGTATTTTTGGTACGAATATTAAGGGATTATATCCAGTATTAAAGTCTCTTAAAGCATTAAACTTTTTTGTTCTTCTTTTGATTTGGACATTAGACACATTTTTGACACCTGTACTAGACGTGATGTCTGTTTCTCTTTTGCGGACGTGTTGCGTCGAGTTATTGAGTATTTTATCCCCTTTTCTGACGCTGCCACCGATATTAAAGCTCACCCATGGTTTAACGCTGAATGCGCCCAAACTGAAAGCGCAAGCATTTAGCGTATCTATCCTGGGTTGACGCACGTAACCGCAAAGCTCCAAATAATAGCTCCAAGAAGAGAACTTTTAACCAGGCCGCCA